GCTGCCTGCGTGTCAAAAATCACAATACTGGTTTCTTGCCGAAATTACAATGGTGTCAGGTGGCAATTTCTTGAGGATGACAGGCGCTCATGCGAGCATTGTGAGTAGCAATGGTCGAAACGACAAAATAAATAATGCTACTTGCCCGCTCATTATTTGTGGTGCTAAGGATGTCGTTTGGGTTATATTATTCCCAAGTTGGGCAATTCTGCTAACGCGAGCTGGTTGTGCCCGTTTCGTACCGCGCAGAAAACACTCGCGGTGGATTTTTCCTCTTCTAAAAAAGGTGAAGTACTTGAAGAATCCCGGTGTAACCCTCTCCCACCAATTAATAGGACACTAGACATCTGCACATCTATCACCTGTCATACCAAATGAACCTGTTATACAGAACACACCCCTGTAAAAGCTGTACAGATTTTCCTCACCTCAAAACAGCATCATTTTCATAGAACTTGGCCAGCTGGGAGTATTCTTCAAGTACTTCACCTTTTTTAGAAGAAGAAAAATCTCCACCGCGAGCGTTTTACGCGTAGTGCGGCACGGGCTCAACCAGCTCGCGTTAGCAGGATTGCCCGACTTTGAAATCATATAATCCAAACAACATCTTTAGCACCAAAAATAATCAGCAGGCAATTCACATTATTCACTACGTCGTTTCGACCACTGCTACTCACAATGCTCGCATGATTGCCTATCATCTTCAAGAAATAACCATCTGATAAAATAATGATTTCGGCCACAAACAGGTTACATCATTTTTAACACGCAGACAGCCGACGATTTATAGCATGTACTAAAAGGGCAACATAAGCACCAAATTACGTACATTCGAGCAATCAAGAAAAGCATCCCAGTGCTTCACATTCGTGTCTCGAATTGATATTTCCAAACGGACAGCACAGAGAAAAACCCAACAATGTCGGCGGAACTGAAGCATTTCCAGCAGTCTTAAAAAACGGACCAAGCCACGGGATACAAACACGTAAGCCAAGCCAACGTTTTCCGTACGGTACATTGACGTCTATTAGCGCAGTGCATCTCATACACGAGTCCGGATAATGTGATTCACACTTATTAGGACCAAACACATCGTGACGACATTGTCGCTTAAACTACAACACTTGGGTTCAATTAATATGACTACTCCGTTGCCGTGACATGCTGCCATCATGTCGTGCAGAGGGACTGTCGTAGCACCCTCTTAAAGTAGTGCACCTCTTGCACAATTCCAACGAGCAAGGCTTGAAATCGCTCTGACATCAAGAGACACACTCTGCCGAGATATTATGCCAACAGCCACCCTAAGGAAACGGATCAAGCCCCGAAAAACGAAGACTGAAGCAAGGCCAGCGTTTTCGGTACGGTACATATACGTCTATTAGCGTAGTGCACCTTACACACGAGTCCGGATCATGCGACTCACACTTATTAGGACTAAACACATCTTGCTGACGATGTCGGTGGATATGCAAGACTTCGATCCGATGAATAAGACTCATGCATTGCCGTCAGATGTTGCCATCATTGGCGGACGGACTGCAGTAGCACCCTATTCAAGTAGTACACCTCTTGTATAATTCCAATTGGCGAGACCTAGAAACCGCTCTGACATCCAAGGACGTACTCTGTCGAGATAATATGCCAACAGCCACCCTAAGCAAACCGACCAAGCCCCGGGAAACGACGACTGAACCAAGGCCAGTGTTTTCGGTACGGTACAGATACGTCTGTTAGCGTAGTGCACCTCACACACGGGTCTGGATAATGCGATTCACACTTATTAGAACTAAACACGTCGTGCTGACAATGTCGATGGAAATGCAAGACGTCGGTCCGATGAATAAGACTCATGCATTGCCGTGAGATGCCGCCATCATGTCATGCAGAGGGACTGTCGTAGCACCCTCTTAAAGTAGTGCACCTCTTGTACAATTCCAATGAGCAAGGCCTGAAATCGCTCTGACATCCAGAGACATACTCTGCCGAGATAATGTGCCAACAGCCAACCTAAGAAAACGGACCAAGCCCCCGGAAACGAAGGCTGAAGCAAGGCCAGCGTTTTCGGCACGGTACATATACGTCTGTTAGCGTAGTGCACCTCACACACGAGTCCGGATCATGCGATTCACACTTATTAGGACCAAACACATCTTGCTGACGATGTCGGTGGATATGCAAGACTTCGGTCCGATGAATAAGACTCATGCATTGCCGTCAGATGTTGCCATCATTGGCGGACGGACTGCAGTAGCACCCTCTTCAAGTAGTACACCTCTTGTATAATTCCAATTGGCGAGACCTAGAAACAGCTCTGACATCCAAAGACGTACTCTGCCGGGATAATATGCCAACAGCCACCAGGCCAGCCAGCCAGCCGTCGTGCGGACAATGTCGGTTGAGCTACAACACTTCGGTTCAATGAACAACACCCATGCATTGCCGTGAGATATCACCATCGCGTTGCGCGGACTGGCCGCAGAGGCAGCCTCTTAAAGTTGTGTACTACTGCATTATTCCAGCTGACGAGACCTCAAAACGGCTGCGGCATCCAATAACATTTTCTACCGAGGAAGTACTCTCGTGTATAAGGCACGCTGCGCTTATAAATATATATGTACCGTACCGAAAACGTTGGCCTCGCTTCGGTCTTCGGTTTCCGGGGCTTGGTCCGTTCCCTTAGAATTGCTGTTGACACATTATTTCGGTACAGTGTGTCTTTGGATGACAAAGCGGTTTTTAGGTCTCGCCAACGAATTATGCAAGAGGCGCACTACTTTAGGAAGGTGCTACTACAGTCTGTCCGCACATGATGGTGACATCCCACGACAGTGCATGAGTCTTATTCATTGAATCAAAGTATTGCAGCTCAACCGACATTGTCGGCAAAATGTGTTTATTCCTGCTTAGTGTGAATCGCGTTATAAGGGCTCTTGTTTCAGGTGCCCCGCACGACTAAACGTACATGTACCGTACCTAAACCTTTGCTTCGGTCCTCGGTTCCCGGGGCTTGGCTTCGTTCCTCAGGGTTCGCGTCGGGATGTTATCTCGGCGGGGTGTGTCTTTGCCTATCAGAGTGGTTTTTAGGTCTCGCCAATCGGAATTATACAAGAGGTGTACTACTTTCAGAGGGTGCTACTACAGCCTGTCCGCACATGATGGCAGCATCTCACGGCAATGCATCAGTCTTATTCATCGGACCGAAGTCTCGCAGTTCCACCGTCATTGTCAGCACGATGTGTTTATTTTCCATAAGTGTGAATCGCCTGATCCGGACTCGTGCATGAGGTGCACTGCGCTAATAGACGCATATGTGCCGTACCGAAAACGATGGCCTAGCTTCAGTCTTCGGTTCCAAGGCTTGGTCCGTATCCTTAGGATTTTTATTGGCATATTATCTCGGTAGAGTATGTCTTTGGATGTCAGAGCGGTTTTTAGGTCCCGCCAATTGGAATTATACAAGAGGTGTACTACTTGAAGAGGGTGCTACTGCAGTCCGTCCGCCAATGATGGCAACATCTGACGGCAATGCATGAGTCTTATTCATCGGACCGTGGTCTGGCATATCCACAGACATCGTCAGCAAGATGTGTTTGGTCCTAATAAGTGTGAATCACATGATCCGGACTCGTGTGTAAGGTGCACTACGCTAATAGACGTATATATACCGTACCGAAAACGCTGGCCTTGCTTCAGTCTTCGTTTCCCGGGGCTTGATCCGTTTCCTTAGGGTGGCTGTTGGCATAATATCTCGGCAGAGTATGTCTCTTGATGTCAGAGCGATTTCAAGCCTTGCTCGTTGGAATTGTGCAAGAGGTGCACTACTTTAAGAGGGTGCTACGACAGTCCCTTTGCACGACATGATTGCAGCATCTCACGGCAATGCATGAGTCTTATTCATCGGACCGAAGTCTTGCAGTTCCATCGACATTGTCAGCACGACGTGTTCAGTTCTAAGGGTGTGAATCGCATTATCCGGACTCGTGTGTGAGGTGCACTACGCTAACAGACGTATATGTACCGTACCGAAAACGCTGGCCTTGCTTCAGTCTTCGTTTCCCGAGGCTTGATCCGTTTCCTTAGGGTGGCTGTTGGCATATTATCTCGGCAGAGTATGTCTCTGGATGTCAGAGCGATTTCAAGCCTTGCTCGTTGGCATTGTACAAGAGGTGCACTACTTTGAGAGGGTACTACGACAGTCCCTCTGCACGACATGATGGCAGCATGTCACGGCAACGGAGTAGTCATATTAATTGAACCCAAGTGTTGTAGTTTAAGCGACAATGTCGTCACGATGTGTTTGGTCCTAATAAGTGTGAATCACATTATCCGGACTCGTGTATGAGATGCACTGCGCTAATAGACGTCGATGTACCGTACCGAAATCGTTGGCTTGGCTTCGGTGTTTGGTTCCCGAGGCTTGGTCCGCTTTTTTAGACTGCTGGAAATGCTTCAGTTCCGCTGACATTGTTGAGTTTTTCTCTGTGCTGTCCGTTTGGAAATACCAATTCGAGACACGAATGTGAAGAACTGGGATACTTTCCTTGATTGCTCGAATGTACGTAATTTGGTGCTTATGTTGCCCTTTTAGTACATGCTATAAATCGTCGGCCGTCTGCGTGTTAAAAATGATATAACCTGTTTGTGGCCGAAATTATTATATTATCAAATGGTTATTTCTTGAAGATGATAGGCGATCATGCGAGCATTGTGAGTAGCAGTGGTCGAAACGACGTAGTGAATAATGTGAATTGCCTGCTCATTATTTTTGGGGCTAAAGATGTCGTTTGGATTGTATGATTTCAAAGTCGGGCGATCCTGCTAACGCGAGCTGGTTGAGCCCATGCCGCACTGCACGCTAACTGGGAGGGGTCATGGCGCAGTCTCTATCCTTGAATGCTGATCCACCAGCAACATCAACACTTTAATGTCTTCTTGTAGTTACTAAACTCTCAGCGTTCTCACAGGCCATAGCGAATATCAAACACAGATGCTCTCACCTTGACGTGCCTATCCATTTGGCGCATGAAGCTGGTAAAAAAGGTGCTGAAATGCCATGGCTCCGTAGTAATCCATGAATGGGACCAATGGATGACAATGGCCCACTAATACGGTACCATGGCTTAATCAGGTGCGCCATATTGTAAATTCCGCCTCCAGCGCCCCACTAAATGCGGCACAACTCTGACCAACCACACCCGCACACGACCAGCTCCACGTACTGCCCGCGAACGCTGGAACCAAGGCCGAAAAGAAAGGCAAGATTGTCCGGTGATTCTCGATTCACCTTCTCTAAACCTTAGCGTGACGTCACTGAAGAGAAGACTTCAATGCTCGCCGAGCCGCCGGGCATCAGATGCAATGCTGAGTGGCAGCTGCAGCACGGTTGTCGATTTGTATTGTTTTGTGATGGCTCTGCCTCCCCCCAATGTTGAGTTGGACCCCTCAATGTCGGCATGGCCCACGCAATGTTTTTGGCTAGAGCACTACAAAAAATGTGGGTAAAATATAATCACAACACAAAGGTTATCTTCTTTGATCTTTCTGCGTGGTGGCGTCTCGTACCACTCTCATGATAAAAATTCATGGTTGCTCTCACCACAAGATAAAGATCGTAACAGATAAGCGGATAAACGATGTAATTTACTTCACATACCTAGCGCCATAAGACACGCAATGGTTTGTGAGGTTATAGTGAAAAGCCCTGGAATATGGGGATGACCTAAGCCCTTCATGACTAACCCTGTCCCCGTCCTCCACAACCAAAATGCATGCCGCCTCCCATGGCCGTCATAGAAGAGCGCTATCGGTGCCCTAATGTGGCCTCTAAGGGGGTGCCTTCACGTGCCGATCAGAAGAGACGCGTGCGTCCAGTGTCTGCTCTCTGGATCCAACCCTGCATGGCTTCTATTCTGCTTAAATTAAATACTTCTATAAATAATACAAAGATTAAAAACACTTAATGCGCTTAAACCAAACAAAGTGATCTAAATCCGGTGAGAAAAATGGGAGAGAAGGTTGTCGGGCCTTCGGTTTGCCCCCGCCATAATTTACAAAAATTAACACCAGTGAGCTGCAGGAGCCCAGAAAGGGAGGGGAGGTGATACGTAGACACATGCCTCTCACCATTAAGCTTCAAAGGGTCCGAAGGGCCTAAAAGATTGGCTGGAGGTCGTATTCAGGGACTTGGCATTCAGGACTGGGCACTCCAATGTCAGCCAGAGGGACCTGCGCGCTGATCAGGGGCTCCTTGAGTCGATAAGGGCCCATATGACAGCCAGGTATCACCGTTAACGCACACTCGGATTCATTTCGGTATGACCTTGAGGGACCATCCCCCAAAGCAAGAACAAAGCAAGAGCCAGCGATTTATATTCGTCGGGGCCCCAGAGTGTCAGGGCCCACAGCGTCTGTCAGCGCCCGACAGCACCGAACAGGGGCCCTGTGTTGGCAAGTGGCCCCGAGTTGTCCAGAGGCAGTGATCAAGGATGCCCAAAGAGCTTGGATGGCCCACCTTGACCGGTGATTAAGGGCGCGATTGGAGGGCTTAAGGGCACGAAAGGCTGATCGGAATCTTATTCGGAGGTCCGACCTGCGGGGACGGGCGTTCAGAAAAGGCAGTCAGAACGCTTTTTGCGCCGATCGGAGCTACCTGAGTCGATATGAGCCTACATTCCAGGCACCACCAGTACCGCACCGTGCGCTCCGTGTCGGCAAAGACCTGAGGGCCCACTTCCCAATCAAATACAGAGCCAGGCGACTTGTTCTGGTCGTGGCCCCTGCATCTGCTAGGGGTTATGAGGGCCCAGCGAAGGTTCCTGTGCTCCCAAGGGGTCCCGAGCCGACCAAGGGCAGCGTTCAATACGGCCCGAAGAGGGGCCTCGGTTGCCCCACAGGAGGTGACGATCAAGGGCTCGGTTGGAGGGCATGAGAGCCCGACGGACGGGTTGTAGGTCATGCAAAGAATCGCAGCTCGTAGGGGCGTGGTCTGAATTATCAGTCAGAAGTTCCTTTGTACCATTCGTGGACCTCCTGGTCTCAGCCGGCCAGTGACCACGAACACCGAACAGTTGGCTTCCTGCCAGTCTGAACTCTGGGGCCCATATTCCAAGCAGGAGCAAGGCCGGGGGCCACGATTTGCATTGGTCTTGGTCCCTGAAACAATGGCTGGAGCCCCTGCGTCGGTCAGGGGCCACAATGCCTAGCAAGGAATCATATGCCGGCTAGTGGCTGCAAGCCGGTCAAGGGCTTTGTTTCAGGAGGTCCGAGGAGGGCCCGAATGAACCTAAGGACCAAAGATCAAGGACCCGATTAGAAGGCCTATTGTCCTCTTGACTGGAGGTCACGGGCTCGAGAGACTGACCTTGGTCAAATTAAGGGTGCCTCTCGCCCTAAAATCGTGACCTCAAATGTCGGTAAAAGGGCTTCTTGCATCGCTTAGGAACTCCTGGGACAGTACGGACGTCTGTTTCGGCCAGAGACCAATGATACCGAACAGTCGGCTACGTGTCTGCCTGAGCCCTGGGCACTCAGTTCCCAAGCACGAGCAAGGCCGAGCTCGCGATTACATGAGTCGGGGCCACTGAAACCACGAGGGTGTTGGTTAAGGTGCTACAGCGCCTAACAGTGCCTCTTGTATCGGCAAGTGGCTCGAGTCAGCACGAGCCGTGTTTGCGGGTTCGGGCCCCTCGAAACCAAAGATCAAGGGCCCGATTGAACTCGGGGTCCGATCCCATCTGTAGTGCCGTGATTTCAAATGCCAGCCAGAAGGTATTTATCAGGCCCGTCTCATCAAGGTCCTCTTTTTTATTATATAGGGTTTCGACAAACAGTCAAACAGTCGGCTCCATGTCCATCTGAACCCTTAGGTTTCATTTCCCCAGCAGGAAGCGAGGCCGGGGCCTGCAATTTTCAATGTGGGCGTCTTTGGCACAATAAGGGGCTCCTGGATCTGTCAGGGGCCACGGTGCTTAACAGAGGTCCTGTGGTGGCAAGTGGCCACGAGTCGGTCAGGGAAACATTTGCTCAACAGGGACGGGGACGGGATCCCAAATGCAGAGGGCCTCTTACGTTGATCGATCCGGGGTTAATGGCGCGGGTCAGAAGGCCTCCCGTGTCAGGGAGGGGAACAATGTGCTATGATAATCCCTCTAAGGGTCTCTGGATCGACCAGGTGATCCCGCCCCGCTTCGCAACATGGCTGCGGGAAGACATCCCGCCGTTGAACAAAATGGCCCTTCAGTCCTTGATCGGGAGCAATATGTGCCTCCTAGTGTTCTTCTCAAGGAGAACCGAATGAAACCCTACGCAAGGGATTCCAACACACGCACAGATAGAGCCATTTGTACCATGCGGATGGCTGCAGGCATGACGACAAAACTGTAACTACCAATCATGCGCACAATACCAACTATCATTTTATTTTTCCTACTGCCATTCTGCTGATACTGCTGAAGCTGATACTGCTGATACTCTTTCTGCCCTTCATGCCCTCAACACTCGACACAAAACACCACACCCACTCATTGCCGAAATCCGGAACATCGTCACATCACTTACGCCATAAAAGCATCTCAAAAGGCTTTGGACACCCGGCCAGACAAACATTCTTGGCAATGTCGCTGCTGATCGGCTTGCCAAGAACAGCCTGCAATTAATCCCCAGAAAAACACTTCACGTTCCTTCACAAGACACACATGCATGCAGGGGCGACCCAGGATTTCGTTAAAGTGGGGCTACGTAATATTGTGCGGTCTCCTGGAGTTTGGGGCCCCCTCCGAAAATATCCTTGCATTTCAGTCAGTACATTTTAAGACAAGTAGTATGTAAAATATATGCATCATATATATATATATATATATATATATATATATATATATATATATATATATATATATACATATATTTTACATACTACTTGTCTTAAAATGTACTGACTGAAATGCAAGGATATTTTCGGAGCGGGCCCCAAACTCCAGGAGACCGCGCAATATTACGTAGTCCCCACTTTATTATATATATATATATATATATATATATATATATAATTATATATAATAATTATATACATTTATATATATACATATATACATATATGTATATATATATATATATATATATATATATATATATATATATATATGGTGACAGTAATAGTAAATACGGAAACCCATCTTACTGTGCGCAGCCTTATAAAGCTAGGCGTCGTATGTGTAAATTCTGCTGTTCTGGTGTCTCACCTCCGGCTCACTGGTACACGCGGTACGTTCAAAGTCACTTCTGTATTTGGCACTCGCTACAGGCACTTCACACAGTCCGTCTCACCTTCGGCTCACTGGTACACGCGGTACGTTCAAAGTCACTTCTGTATTTGGCACTCGCTACAGGCACTTCACACAGTCCGTCTCACCTTCGGCTCACTGGTACACGCGGCACGTTCAAAGTCACTTCTGTATTTGGCACTCGCTACAGGCACTTCACACAGTCCGTTCCGCTGGCGCGTCCGTCTTCGCGCCGGCGGCTCTCCGAGTTTCCTCTTTGTTACTACCTTTCCTCCTGGGCCCCGCGGCTGCGTGCCTTGCGCGGGGCGCCTGGGGCAGGAGGAAGGGAACGCGAGCGCCTGGAAGCGGCGCTCGCCAAACTACGCGAACATTCACTGGCTAGCACATAGCTGTTCTCTGAACCTTATATATGCATGCACGTAGAGTTCATTCATGTTCTACAGATCAAGGAAACCTGTAATTTTGAGGCTAACTATTTCGGAACAACAGGCAAAATTAACTCGAGTTGGCTGCTAGCAACCATCAAAACCAAGCACGGGCTTGATTCCTGGCATATTTACGGCTAGTCAGTTGGGCGATGTAATCAACTGATGGCTGATGACTCATGCAGAATGTTTCCTTTGTTATAAAGTAGTCAAAATATCCCGGCATTCAAAATATGTTAAGAACATGGTGCACTAACATGCAAGTGTCACACAATAGCCGATGGCATTGACACATACGATATCGGCGACACGGAAAATTGGTTTGACCATTGTGCGTAAAAATTAATCGGCGTATATCCGACTGCTGCTCTAAGGCGAAGGCACCAAGACCAAGACGGACGAAACCTGAGGGATCATGGGTGTCGCAGGAGGCCAACAAAGCTGCTCCCGTCAACAACTATAGGGTCCTCAGCGCCAGCGAAAAGAATTCAAGACTAACGTGGTGGGCCCCTAAATGATCGGTAGT